CGAGATTTGAAGTTATGACTTTGCAGCAACTCCCATGTCAGTGGGTCGTCTTATCTGCCTGAAGTTACCTAGCTTTATTAAATGCTTTATTATTAGCTTCTGCGCAGATCATCTTTTCGAGACTAGTAAAATGATTGCCTTTATTATTCCAAACGTGCAGAAAAATATAGATTTAAACTCTCGGAAAAGCCTTACATGAACGCCGCCATGGCAGCGATGGTATATGTTGAGCTTTGGATCGATGGTTGTAAATTCGGCCGCGTGTCCACGAAGTTCAAAATATCCCTTCGTATCTGTCTTGCCCGACGCTATCAGATCGTCGCATCCACTCTTCCAAGTGGAATTTTTCAGTACTAGCGAAGAAATTCAACGCTGTTTTGCACAGGCATCTGTTCGAGACAGAGCTGTTGCTGCAACTGCAGAAATCACGATTCTATATTCTTCGTTTTTTTTGGAACTTATTTTCTTCGTCTGTATAAGTTTGCTAACGACAATATTCATGACTCATGAAAAAAATGACGGTTCTTACTAGATAATTCCTTGAAAAAAAGTATGCTGTTAACATGAATTGCAAAACACTGATTGCTGAAAAATAATACAATTGATACAATAAAATCTATCTCATAATGCAGCGAGAAAATGCCTAATAAACGGGACTCGTAACGTTACCGAACGGCGTAATGAAACCGCTTATACCAGCAAAATGGACCAAAGCTGCTTAGACAGTTGGCAGAGAACATATTTTCCGATTCCACTTGGGTGCTCGAACAGGCTCAACACAGCTATCACATATGTCAAAGCTGAGTTGCACACTCCTGATCTACACTGTTTAGCTGCCTTGGAGGCAGCGTAAGTATATGACTCTGGTACAGCTCAGTAATACAGGACAAATGTTTATTAGAGGGCGATGAATATGTTCTACTCTGTTGAATTTCGACCTATGTTTTCACCTAATAGCACTGCTATTCAGCATGCAGCTAAGTTTACGGGAATCTCAGCTGCTACTCTAGTCACGATAATTGGCCAACGCACGGGCTGCCCATGCGAAGGTGCTTTTTTTCCAGAGCTCCCTGCAGATTTTTGTCGCTAACGGCAGTGCTTTTTCCGGCAGATGCTTCCAGCTAAAGGATTTTCAGATAGGCCGTCAGAACTGCAGAAAACACCCATTCAAATTTGCAATCTTCTAGCTTCTCTGCTTTCCGAGTTATCAACTTACTCAGAAAAAAAAAAAAAAAAATTCACGGATCCGTACATGGGTACCACGCATACCTGGGGGCTTGGTTTGAGCTTGTTAATACCAACTCGGATAGGGAACATCCCTTTAAAATTTTAATCCTCTAGCTTCTCAGTTTCCCGAGTTAACAGTTTGCCTGAAAAAAAACTTCAGTGGCTCGTACGTGGGCACCACCATATCCGGAGTCTGGGTCTGAGCTCAATGAGACTTAGTTGGATTGGGAATACCCTCTTAAAACTACAGTCTTCTAGCTTTTCAAATTCCTGACCTGGCGATTTGCCCGGAAAACTCTGGCGGGCTCGTATGTAGGTAGGACGCGGGTAAGGACTGGGGCCTGTTCGTGCATGTAAATTAAACTCCCAAAGTTTCAG